TAGCATAATCCTTTTTACCTTTGCAAAAGTGCTTAACTCCAATGAAATGAGGGTAAATTAAAAAGAAGTAAACTTCAAAATGTAATTTATTTATATTTAAATTATGGAAATATATTTAAAAATATACAAAGTGATTATTCATTAAGTAATTTTAATAAAAATAAAATAAAAATTCAATAAAACCAATATTCCAACCTAAATCTTCTTCCAGCTGCTTCTCGTTTCAACTAACTCTTTCCCTACTTTGACCTCTTGACATTGATGAAGATATAATTAAGGCTTGTTCTCTTCATCTTATCAGATTGATTATCATATGATTCGAATAAGTTCTGATCTGATATAGTCTAATTGTAATTGTATTTAAAAATGTTTTCAATTTAATCTTATCAAAGAGAGTATTTTACTCTATCATATATGTAGTACATCTCCCATTGTAGATGTATTTTTTATGGAAAATAGGTAAAAATGATACGAGTAGTTAGAACTTTTTTACTCTCTTATATCCTCGTATTAAAGTTGCTCTAACTAATCAAAATTGAGGAGTATTTAAAAACTATATCAATGAGGCGTGGCATGTCACATGTGTTGATGTGATACTTTGTAATACATAGTATTTGCCTTTCCAATATGAGCCCAGTTACATGGCCATTGGATTCCAGTGGCAACGGAAGCCATTGCCCCTCTACGGAGCTCCGTTCATAAAATTGATAATTCCTACTCCCTCTAACCCCCATGGTAAACCCTTATACTTACGAGGTGCAATTGACGCAGGTGGGGTGATTAGTTTGGGTCGGGACTTGGCGGGGGGTTTACCGGGGGGTTAGGGAGGTAGGAATCATCAATTTTATGAACGGAGCTCCGTAGGAGGACAGTGGCTTCCGTGGCCACTGGAATCCAGTGGCCAGGGAACCGGGCTCTTCCAATATACCTAATGCCATTGGGATGGCCTCGGTACATCCACCCTCTCTCTCTCACAGGAAATCAGGGTCCACTCTTTGTCAGAATCTGTGAGTAGTGCCACTACAAGTAATATATGTAGACTTCACTATTTACTATCAATCAGGGATTAAAACTCAAGTTACTTTCTTTTAGGTGATCGTCCAACCAATTCTAAGAAATCCTCAGAGATTGAATTCATTATCTTTGGGGAATGAGAGTGTTAATGGAGAGAGTACTTATCTACCTTTTATGTACCCCATAGTATTTCTTCCGTCCCACAATAATATTTTTCAATTCAGCAGTAACAAATGTTTAAAAAAAATAAAGTTGTATGTTTGAAAGTAGACAAATTGTTCTGTAGATCTAAAGTCCACACTTATTTTATGAACTTTAGCATATATATGAATACAATGGATGAATTGGGTTCTTTGAAAAAAAGGATCCCCATATCGGCTCATAAAAATTGTGAGAAGCTTCAAATTTCACATTTGGGCCTTAGATCATGGAAGGACAACTCGGAAAGTAATACATATGAGAGATAGATTATGTGAGTAAAAATGTCTAAAATCATTTTATTTACAAATGAGGTATAAATTACATTATTCAAAAATACATAAAAAAATGTGCAAAATAAGATGCGACAAGAGAATTTTGTTTTATCAAATACTCAACGAAAAGAAGTAAACAAACAAAAATTACTTTTTTAGCTGAAAAAATAGTGACTATGGCAATATTTTTAGGACAGAGGGAGTATTTTTTTTATTTTTCCTCAAAAAGCAATAAAATTAAATTCAATAAATATTTATACTTTTTTATTTTAAATGTTAATTTTTTATTTTAAATTTTTAAATTTTCATTTTTTATCTCAAAATTTTAAATACTTAATTTTAATATTTATTTTAAATTTTTTAGTTTGATAATTAATTTTAAATTTTGGAATTTAATTTTAACTTTAAATTTTTATTTTTTAAGCTTTAATTTTTAATTTTTAAACTACAAATATAAAACTTTTAAATTGAAATTTTAAATTTTTAGTCTTTAATTTTTAATTTGACTTCTTTGACTAATCAAAGAAGCCCGAGTAAGTAAAAGAAGCCGAAAAACTTGCTAAAGAGCCATTTTTCGAATAAAATCAAAACTCATAAGAGTTTTTACCGTGGGGATCAATCCACCCCGCCCCAACTCCTGCCACATCAGCATTCCACTAATTTTCCACCCATCCCAAAATTCTGCAATGTTAGCGCTGTGAAAACCTGCCTCTCTGTTTCTCTTTGAACAAAATGCACAATTTATTAATCACACCCTCCAAAACAAGTACATCCCAGCCATACATATTACGCATCAATCACTACCAGAAATCCAGAATACCATAAAAAAAGAAAAAAAATAGTCTAGACCTTACATCAACACAACAGATCTTAGTTTATAGTTTACGGACTTTTTCATATGCTCCTTAATCCATTTGTAATATTCTTTGGTAGGAGTATCTTCTTGAAGCTTATCAATCTATTCCTCACTCTCCAAACAACATAACATATGGCATGGCTGCAAAAGCTGCAATTACAATATGTCTGGTCTTTCTCCCTTTGATCTTCATCATCCAGCATTGCTCCATCATTAGTTGCACTCCAGTGATATTTGATCCATCTTCATATCTCCTTTTAAACCTATTTTGTATAGCTGTAATCATAAAAAAAGATGATGCTTGTCTTCGATTTGATGTAGACATAGAGCACAGGATAGGTCAATAGGCATAAACCTACTGAGCCTAGATTTTGTGGGAATTATATTTCTCCATCTCAACTCAAGGAAGAATTGGTGTTTAGGAGTGGTTGTTCTGTTCTAGATCATGTGATACCCTTGCATCATGTTACCCTCTTCCATTAGCCATTCATAGCTTCCATGAATCTGATACTCCTCACGAGTGTCCATTCCATCAAATAGTTTTCTACAACTCAAGATTTTCTTCATGTAGAAACAAAGTCTTACCTTGGGGGAATATTCTAAACCGTGTCCTTCTTTAGATACTTATTATGCATCCATTTGACCCATAATATGTCCTTATTAGCAATGTCTCAAATTAGCTTATAGTTACAAGCATAGTTCCACTGACTTAGATTCTTGAAACCCAGACCTCTAACCTTCTTTGATTTGCAAACATCTTCCCAACTGACTAGGGGGACTATACAATATTCTGCCTTTGAGCTCCATAAGAAATTTTTGCATAAACTTTGAATGTTATGCATAACCTTTGCTAGGATGACAAAAAGTCTGCACCAGAAAGAAATAATCCTATATAGAACTTAATTTATTAGCGTACATCTTCCTGTATATGAGAGGTTTTTGGATTCCTATACAGTGATTTATGTTGTGAGTTTACTTACCAGTGTTTCACATATTCTATCACTAATTTTACCATCAGTTATGGACCCACCTAAATATCTGACAGGTAGTACCCCTCAGTCCATTTTAGTCATACTCAACAACTCATCAACTTCCTGATCTTGTATCCTCCAACTATCATTAGAGATCTGGAATGATTTACTACTAGTCCTGTTACAGCTCTGAAGTGTTTGAGGCACTCAAGAATGATATTAATTGTTCCCATGTCAGCTTTACAGACAACAATCAAATCATCGGCAAAGATTAAATTTATAATTTGGAGTGATTTACACAATTGATGGTAGTGGAAATTGATGTTGTTTGCATATATCTTCAAAGCCCTTGTCAGATACTCCATAACTTAAGTAAAAATCAAAGGGGATATAGGGTCCCCTTGTCTGATACCTTTAATAGGAAACTTTACTAGAGAACTTCATTGCTTCTATGATCCCTCTAATAGTCGTCCAACTTATGGAGTCATAGGCCTAAGGTCAAGCTTCATTAGACATCTGGGAGTGATGCCCTTTCTATTGTATCCTCTTACCATTTCACGGCACAGAAGAATATTATGCGCTAGTTCTCTTTCTTCAACAAAGACACCCTGATTAAGATTGATAATATTTGGTGAAATTATCTTCATCATGTTACTTTTGGCCTGAAACCAGTAAGTGACATTGGTTTCTTTTTGGGCCGCCGCAGACAACTTTAGTGGGCAACCACCATGATTTTACGCCTGGAATTCAGCCCGATCGAGTGCCGCAGTTGGGCCATGCGCCGAGGCTGAAAATGTGGCTCTCCTCCTGCAATGGACGTCTGGCGTAACACGCTTATGAAGTTGAGCGGCACGGCTAATTTTGCATTCCATTGCAAACGCCCTTAAGATTTGTTTCTTTTTTGGCCTAAAAAGGATTTAACCCATAAAATTCTAATCGTTTGTAATTTTCAAATCCTTTTCCGGCATTATAGAATGTAAAACATGGAGCTGAAAAGTTTAGAGCCACTCATATAATTCAATTCCAAATCCACAATTTTGGATTTTGGGTTCGGAGCTTCAAATTCAACAACACATTTGGGAAGGAGCACAAAAGAAGAGGAAAAACTTAATTGAAGAGAAAAAAAATGAATTTACAATTTTATTCTTCTTAACAGGAATGTTAACAGAAAACCATTCATGAAAATAATATAATAATTCATGACTAAATTATTGGCATTTGATGTGGAGGCCTTTTATAGAATTTACTCAAAATCAATTCATAAAGATTTTTTAGTGTTATTCCCTTTTTGCATAAAAATATCAATCCTCAATTTCAATTTCTTAAGTAGAATAAATTCTATCCATGATGACTTTGAATTTAAAAAATCACTCTAAATAAAAATAAGACATGGAGATACTATCAAAATAAGAGTTCAAAGTTTTTATTCTTCAAATAAAAGTTCGCATTATGATAATATGACACTGCACTTGAAAATTTTATTATACCTTTTGGTAATTTTAACACATTTTAACTGCTATTTAAAAATAAAAACATTGAAAATATTATTTTGGAATATATTCAAGTTTTACTCCTATTTAGTCTTTTTTCTCTTTGAATTTCAGAGTCAATGTGCACTCTATTTTTAACTGCACTGGGTAGGGGCACGCAAAAGTAATAAAAAGAAAGTGCCAGCTCATGTACTATGTACAACTTCTCCATTTACTGGTGAAAACGTCTGGAACATTGTTACAAATACAAATTCACCAGAAGGCTCGGTAAATGGAAATTACAGTGGACAAAATTTCGAAACTAAAAAGATAAAAATCAATCAAAAGTAACATCACGTTCTAAAGTTACAGCCTTTTGTTTATGGAAGAAAAAGATAAAATACCTTCTTTATCTGCATTCCAACTAGTGCCGCCAATGGCTGGAACAACATGCATGTACATCTACTACGGGAAGGGGGGAAGGTCTTAGATTAGTGCATGTTGTCTGTTAAACCGCCTGATACGATGCTATCATCTACCGGCTTGGGCCCACCACACGACCTCGAAACAGACTCGAAGAGTTTCTCGATTTCAGGTGCACACCTGGTAAATGACCTGCTCCAGAAGTTGTATCGAGGGTTCTGCCAAATGAGGTGCAAGAATATTAATAAACTTCCGTGTGAAGAGATGGTGAGAACCCAACCCCCATAGATAAAACATAAACAAGCCAGGGTCACGTTCTTTTGACACCAATTGTGGCTGTCAAAATATGGCATCCGTCCATTTGGGGGCCCTACGGTAATCCGTTGGGGCAAGGACTAGGATTTTTTGTGGGTTGGTGGGTGGGGGGGGGGGGAAGACAGGGTCCCAAGCCCAACAGAGCACCATTGGCCCCTTGTGCAATATTACGACATTAAATCCAATGCCAAAAGAAGAGTGGTGAACAAGTTAAGCTCTTATAAAAAAGAGTTCTTTTGTAGGAGGCTATGTCTCATCTTAAATGACAATGGCTGTATATATTGATTCATGCATTTCATATGAATGGATAAATATAGCATGTAAATGGACAAGGCATTTGGTGCAAAAAAGATGGTGGAGAAAAGTTAACATCAACCACACCACCCCAGCAAAATGTGGCCCACACAATAATGTACATGGATGACACTATCCTACACTCATGTGGGTCAGCATGGATAGCATTAATGAACAATCATCACCTCTACGAGCAACCAATATGCAAAAAACGAACCAACTTTTCTGTGGCACTTGTAGTGAAGAGTTTTAATGGCATACCTTTATCAGCTCAATGAAAGTGATAAGAAGCCCCCATGGATGAGGTCTGTTGACAATTAGGCGCTCCAATAGGACTCTTGTGATCTGTTCTTGGATCACTTCCTGCTTGGTTCACAAACAAAAACACTCAAAAGTTTAAAAAAGGGCCGATTTGACAAATAGTTTGGAGTAAATTATTTATGAAAAAATTAATGTTGATAATTATTTTTAAAAAATAGACAAATTCAACAGAGACAAATAGTTCATGTTTACAGGAACCCCAATAATTACAAAGTGAGAATTCAACCAACAGAGAACCCCTCATAATCTACAAACAAGCGCGGATATCATTTTAAGTGGATATCCCCATGCCAATATACAAACAAACTAATTAACTCAAAGCTGCCCAATGCATGTTTGAATCTAGGGAAGAAATATTTATACAAATCCAAGCTGCCTAGCCCTGTTGTTAAAATTACATTTGAGAGATCCAATAAAATACCATATTCTGCCTCCTAATAAGAAACCAGCCTTCATGATTGTTTAACGCCCGACCCACCACCCAAACAAAAAAGTATATTTTGCACCCGCATAGGATGATTGGCAACCCCCNNNCCCCCCCCCCCCCCCCCGCACTGTTAGAAATAAAAAGAATTACCTACCAAATTAAGTAACAATTTAGCACAAATAAAAGAGGGGTAGGGAACATGAGCACAAAACAAAAAACTGACACTCAATTGCTATTCAGTTTATAAATGGATACAAAAAGTTCAAACCAGAACAAAACACGCACCATTAAATGCTCAAACAAAGTAAAGTAACACACCTGCTTAGATTCAGAGAAGATGTAAAGAAGGACGAATGAGAAGTAATGTGTGTGAGTGTTTGGATATCGCAATTGATTAGCAACCGCATTCAAGAAGAGGTAACGACCCTCAGTGTCCAAGTCCACTATAAAAGACTGAATTATTTCAAGAGCAGCATTTGCCAAGAAAACAGGGTGTGAAACACTGCTTGTCATTGACTGGGAATGAGATGCAGTTCTTGTTTGCAGTTGCTGTAGACTCACACAAAGAACTATCAGTAAATTAAAAATAAATAGAACTATAAACATTTAAATATTTTATTTACAAATACTAGAAATGCATAATGGAGCATGTATTGATAGCCGTACCAACATGCCAACATAAAGAACAAGAGAGTTGATGAGAGGGACATTATAACGAGTCCCTGCACGAGCAGACTCCGAAGGAGAGAGTAACAATTTTTGCTTCAACTCAGCAAGGAACAGAGACCCCTGTGGCTTTGTCTATATAGATGAGATCAATACAAGAATACAACACATAAGAAAACAATCATGTATATGTGTGCGCACACACACAGACTGCATTGCTGAAGTGACACTAAACAGAAAAAACAGGATTAAAAGCATTATTTTACTCATTCTACCTAGTATACCAAAATTTGAGCGCAATAACATTATTCTAGTTTGGATATACCTTCAAGTATTCATCGACATCACTCTTTATTTGCTTTATTTTGAGAGCAGCATCAACCTCAGAAAGAATACACGGAGATTGACTGATCTCAGCCAGTAGATCAATCTACAGGGAAAATAAAAGATGTTCACTTCCACTCAGATTGATTAGAAACAAACGTTAGAGCTGGGATTTAGTTGAATTGCCACCTTTAAGTTAGGAGTAGAAGGATCAGGTAGCCTCATATTGCGAGGGAATGCACTAAGAATAATATTTCGCATCTGTATGCAGCTTGGGGGAATTACATCACAGAAGCTGAAGTGATAGTCACAAAGAAACTCCGGATAGTCATGAAGAAGAACCAATAGCACCCTGAGTGTCCCTTTATATAGAAAATGAACCTAATTTTGAAAGAGGTGAATGTTAAGATGGAGCTATCTGAAAGCAATAATGTGAAGATAACTTCACAAATAATCAATTTGACAAGAACAAACCGCTTCTCCAAGTTCAGCATTCCTCAAAAAAGGCTCCATGAACTGGAACAGGTCCACCAGTAACCGCTGAAAGTAAGGCCACCCTTTCTGACCATTTGAAGTGAGTAATTTGGGCATGAAACTCCTGTGACTAACAAGCTCAAGCCATGCAAAGCTGAACACCCCCAAGTATGCAAAAGTTAATGTATTTGTAGTGAGAAAAAAATACAGAAAGAAAAGCAAAAAATTGTGTTTCAACGATACTAACTCAGCACTCCCTATTTCCCAAAATTAACATTACTCTTCTTCATGGTTATCAAGTCAGTGTAGAGGAGACTGTCGACCAACTAGTCGCTGATTACTCGACAAATCATAATAAGTAATACTCCATATTTTTCTATAAAAAAGTATATCACTAAAAATACACCTCGGTTCCCTTGACATTGCTAAGCAATGTAATGCGATGATCCGGGGGCTATACAATGCTCCGTTCGTAAAATTGACGGTTCCAACCTCACCTACCCCCCCCCCCCCGTTAAACC